CAAATTCGCGTGCGCCAATATCCAGCCTAGGAGTTTCACTGGATAATATTTTAGAATTACGTAAGTTGTTCAGTGCATTAGTGAGGAACATTATTCACACAGATAAGACAGAATTATTAGCCTCATCCCTCGGACAAAACCCGGGAGAATGGAGGTATAGTTTGGTTGATATTTCGGCAACATGTCTTCATCGAAACAAAAGCAGAAGTGAATTTGAAATTGCCTGCCAATGATCCTACTCGATATCTCAGGCTATTTTCTGAAACAGCAAGCCACCGTTTTTGCAGGACAATAACATTCAGGGAATTAAACAAAGAGCGACTGCCAGCCATTACCATTATGCAGTGCCTATCTAGGAATAAGAAGACACAAACATACGTATACATGCAAACGAATTCGAGCAAATAGGCACCACGCATCACGCTTCATTCAAACATGCAAACGAGTTGAAGTAAACAGGCATCACACAACGCGCATCAATTGTACATGCAAACAATTTCAATTGAGCAGGCATCGCACATCACGCGTCAGGCACCACTTACACATGTAAGCGATTTTAAGCCAGCACCCATCACACATAGAGGCACATATAACATTCCCATAATTGGCCATGATGAGCCCTGTGTGTTAATATTCGGTCGCCGACTTTTTATAACAATAGATTTACTGAATGTGAATCTACTCTTATATATATCTGAATGTGAATCTGTTTTTATATAAATCTGAATGTGAATCTATTGCTTTCACTGAACGTGAATTTATTTTATATACTGTAAATATACGCATTCTAATTCTTAGACTGGCACTGTATCTTGATGATGGCTGACAACCGCTTTTTGTTTAATTCCCTGAAAGTAAGTGTCCATGAAAACTGTGGATTGCTGTTTGAAAAAAATAACCTGAAAAGTGGAGTAGGATCACCGGCGGTCAATTTTGAATTTACTTCTGCTTTTATTTCGATGAAGGCATGTTGCCGATGTATCAGCCAAACTGTATCTCCCTTCTCCTGGTTTTTCGAGGAATAAGGCTAATTCTAATGTCTGATTTATGATAATGTTTTGTCTTCACTGGTTCTGCTGGCACCCCATTCCGAGAGTGCAATTAACTTTGAGCCAGAGCTATCACTGTCTGGACTTATGGATGACAAGGATGCTTGATGGTAAGGATTGGGTGATGGATGAGGTCCGCTGGTGTCTTATGGCTGACATCCAGTTTGCGAAGGCTTTTCTAGTTATGAAACCGAATGGCTCTGAATCAATCATCTTCGCTGCGCACTGGGCTGCACTGCAGTTACATCAAAGCGCGTTGCAAAACTGCGAAGTGTGGCACAATTCGAGGGCACACCTGTACTTTCCCACGGCTCTTTCACGTGTCTAGGCACTCGCTATTCCAGTAAACCGGCTTCGAAAGATGAAAGCTGTTAAAATATACGTAATGAGGCCATTCAGGACTTACAAGGCTTAGACTGCTGGTTAAGAGAAGTGTGCCAAGCACAGTCGATTACCAGATCTGTCGAGCAAGGCGCAACATTGCTTGAAAAGATGAGACGACAGCATAATGCATTTTGCACATCACCCGTTGATTGCCGACCCTTGACATGTATTAGGGGAGAATCCAGGACCTTTTTGCACGTCATCTCAGCGATTGTCGCCTAGAGGGCTCAAGCGGTCGTGAAACGTAGTGTTGTACTTAGCCCCTTGTTGCACTGTGTTTCGACATTTCAGAACTGCATTACCGTAAACTTCATCCCCAGAAACAAGTTTGGAAGCAAGTTCGACAACCTACACGCACTTGCCTTTGAAAATATATCACTGAGGCATTGCTGCATCGCAACACGAGCCTCCCGACCAGCATTAGCTCAGCTCGCCTGGCCTCGGCCGTCCGCAAGCCCCGTCAGTCGGCCCGTACGGTGCCCCATCAGCAAACCCCGTCAGTCGGCCCGTACGGTGCCCCATCAGCAAACCCCGTCAGGCGGCCCGCACGGTGCCTCGCAGCAAACCCCGTCAGGCGGCCCGCACGGTGCCCCATCAGCAAACCCCGTCAGGCGGCCCGCACGGTGCCTCGCAGCAAACCCCGTCAGGCGGCCCGCACGGTGCCCCATCAGCATGGGCGCAGCCAGAGCCTTGGCCGGGAGGGGGGGGGGGGGGGGCACAGGGTTGAAAAACGGCCCCCTGACAGTAGAACGACCGCTTAGAAAATCGCCGAATATGGCCCATTCGTTACTGAGGAGATATTTTCTCACATAACATATGCATATAGCATATTTATACATATGCATATAGCATATTTATAACACACCCACACATACACATCCACACCCACACCCACACCCACACCCCCACCCACACCCACCCACCCACCCACATATATTTTTTACCTTCTTCAACTGAAATATAGTCCAAAACGGTACCATGGGATCAATTCTGCCTTAGGTTTGTAGAAATAAACTGACAAAACCATGTGTTAAATAGACTGCATGAAAAAGATCGACGGCGCTCTTCATTTTACAATGGTCCAATGGACTCTTCAACCGATGTAACTCCGAAATTGTGCCATATTTTTATGTGGGTTGTATAGAGACAGCAAGGATTCCGTAAATGTAGACTGAAGATCAAGACGGATCGACTTGTATTAACATGGCCAAGCCATGTTTGTCTGGATATGTTCAACATTCAGTCAGAATTGATCAGCGTTACAAATATTGTAACATAGTTTTCAGCATGAGCGCTGGCACATCTAAGCGACAAAAACTCGACGCCAGACGTTGCAGTCGCCCTGGGCCGCGCAGCATCGGCCCCGCGGCTAGCACTAAGCCGTGGCCAACATGTGGACGAAAATGGTGAAGCATCTGAAAAAGTACCTTTGAACGCTTTTGGACACCAAATCGTACATTAAGAGATATTCCTGGCGCATATTTCGCATGCTGCCAATCATAAAAAAGAATGCCACTTTAAGGAAAAGTAGGACAGCGAAAAAAAGACACTCCCCGATCGCTGTAAAAAAAGAACGCTCGACGGCCAATCTGGCCCCGTTCAATCTGTCGTCAGCCCAACTGTCAGCTGGAATGCGAGACCTCACGCGTGCGTGCTAACTTATTTCAGTTTCGTTCGATGTGTGGGCTGACGGTAAAGTTTTTAGATTTTACTTTCCTTTCTTCTTTTACCTTTTACTTCAGTCCACACACTAACTCTGGCTTACCATCGATCATGACACACTGCGTACAAAGTGGTGTTTGGAAGTGTGGCTTCAGTTCCGGATTTACCATCATCTATCTTGTCCGTATGTTGAGTGTTTCTTACCATTTTTAAGTCATTTCAGTTTCATTCCTCTCACTTTGAATGTTTACTTTTAGCGTTAATTATCTACCGGGCAACCACACACCACACCAGACACTGTCACTCACCTTTTCATGGGTACTCTTAGCATTTCAATTTCCTCCTTATCTACCAAAGGTCGCACTTCCCCCAAAATCAAAGCCAAGTGCTTCCGCCCCACCTAACGTAATCGCCAACGCAAAAGCTACCAAATCAAAGTCCCCTTTCAGTCAGAGTGATCTTTTAATCTGGTAGCGTTTTCTGCCCAGGCTGACAGACTGAGGTGAAAACACTAAAACGCTAAAAAACCGTGGAATCATCTGCCAATGCGTGACGTCACAGGTCACGTGACTTTGTGGTCACGTGATGTAACGTAGTGAGTTAATGCACAGACCAACACACCCTGTGAGTTTGGTGTCTGTAGCTTTCTTAGTTCCTGAAATCTCAGCGTGGGGGGGGGGGGGCAAATCGACCCACCCCCTCACCAAGCAAGGGGTATCCAATCGGCCACCCAGGCGCGTGTTAAGCTATTACTTTAAATTGAGCATTAATTTTACAAGAAGCACAGAGTTTCACCTTACAATGAGACCTTCCTATGATGCCATCCAAACCAGGTACATTTATTTTGTTGATCAGCTTGACATTTGCACCGATTCGTTTTTGTATTGACGGTTTGTTGTTACAGCTCTAAAACTGGGGCGGGCAAAAAGGTGCACCTTATGGCAGTAAGAATTAGCCTGCATTTCGTTTTCAACTGCTAATTTCCGCACGTGGTCGCAAGGCCCAGTAACGTGCACGGTCAGGCGGTGTCCTACCAATGCTCTCTCCACAACGAAACATACGAAACATGAGGTGCAAGAGACTGCGTTAAAAACATGGCTGGGACAATTTTGGAACATTTTTGGTTTCATTTCTCATTTTACATAGCCGATATCTCACTGGAAATACGCAAGTGTCATGCCGCGGTCGACAACAACGCAACACCTGCGACCTGATTCCTTATCCGACCCCTGTGCCACAGCTGCACACAGCAAGCTCCCTCCTCCATCCCTGAGCCACGACTGCACCGGCAACCTGCTCCCAGACCCCATCCCTGAGCCACGAGTGCACCGGCAACCTGCTTCCAGACCCCATCCCTGAGCCACGAGTGCACCGGCAACCTGCTCCCAGACCCCATACCTGAGCCGCGGCTGCACCTGCAACCTGCTCCCAGACCCCATACCTGAGCCGCGGCTGCACCTGCAACCTGCTCCCAGACCCCATACCTGAGCCACGACTGTACCTGCAACCTGCTCCCAGACCCCATACCTGAGCCGCGGCTGCACCTGCAACCTGCTCCCAGACCCCATACCTGAGCCGCGGCTGTACCTAAAATCTGCTCCCTGATCCCATCCCTGACCCGGCTGCACTAGTGGCCGGCTCCCAGACCCGGCTGCACTAGTGGCCGGCTCCCTGATCCCATCCCTGACCCGGCTGCACTTGTGGCCGGCTCTCTGACCCGGCTGCACTAGTGGCCAGCTCCCTGACCCCTCATCCCTGTCGCGGCTGCATGAGAGGCCCGCTTTCTGACGCCAGTCCGGCCCCGGCCTCACTCACAGCCTGCTCGCGGCTGCTGGTGACCCGCTGGTCGTCGCCGGCGGGCGCGACGGCCGTCCTGGCGGCGGCCGCCGGCCGCCCGCCGCCCGCCGGCTGCCCGTGTATGTTCTCGACGTGGCGACGCAGCGAGCGGGCGTCGCAGTACGACTTGTTGCAGCCGTCCGACGTGCACTCGTACGGCTTCTTGTTGCAGTGGGTCAGCATGTGGCCGTTCCTGGAATGCGTGGTGCGACGTGGTCAGCTGATTGTTTTCAGACGGGAGTGCTTTGTTGGGTGTGCGCAGGCCCGCCTCGTTTGCATCGTTCGTTGGATGTGCGTGAGTTCGATGCTTCAGACAAGGACAATATGAAAAACACTAGAACAGAAATACGTGGCACTGACACTGGTTGGAGACAGTGCGAGCCATCTATGAAGCCAAATGGACAAGCAAACGGGGCTCGTAATAAACTTCAAATACAGTTTCATGTAACAACTTAGGAGCTTTGTTTGCGTCTTTAAATGTAACCGAATGCTGCGGGAGAATTGATGTTTTTCATCGAAGCAAAACCAAATGTTGCGAAGTAGAACAGTGACATTGCACAGGGAGTATGTATGCAAATAACCGTGCTGAAGCCCATGGAATGATGCTATTGTTTACATCTCATTCTCCAGGTGCTGGCAATGAAGCCACGTACTTTGATCCCACTCAAACCACGTGGCTCTTCATTCCTGGTGCTCACTATGGTCGATACTACGGAAGGACGTTTGGAAATGCGAGTGTTCCATACTGTAGCAGCTACTCCGACCAAGGTCAGGGCGGGCAGGCGTGAAGGTCTGCATACCATGAATAGTTTCGTCCCACGCAATATTTATGAGCACGTGACAGCAGATCCGTTCCACGTGGTGAATGCGGAGCAGCGAAGTGAAATCACGGCGGGAAAGGTGTCATATGGATAAAAGGAGGAGGTTACCTAGGCGCCAAGAGCGTTAATTTGGGTGAAAACTCCGTGGCTTATGAGTTATCAACCGTTGTCCCATTTCCGTGGCACGTGAATATATTAAATAACACTTTAGTCTGTTATAAGCCATTTGCAGTCTTGCTGCAAGAGATCAATGGCGACATAAGTTACTCAGTTCAAGAACCTAGATCAGTTCCAACCAAAACACTGCTTATTTCTAACCGCAGTACCTCAACGTGTACTTTTATAATTTGATTTATTCTGGGCCGTGTTCTCACATCATGGAGTCAGTGGGCACCCCAAGCGACCGGCAGTTGTGTGTCAGTCCTCGTCCAGGACATGATGGTGGCACAGGCTGCGAATGTGCGCTGCATGCGTGATGAGCATGCCCTAGCAGCTGGCACGTCTGTTGAGTCCTCTGGGGCACTGGATAGTTTAGTCGCACAGTTACCATTCTCGCACAGTTTGCAATGCATCCGGCTTCCCAGAAATTGCAGTCTTTTGATGGTTTGGGTAACTCGAGTCATGGTATGCTTACCTGATTTGTGCAGAAGCTCTCTCTTTGTCATGAGCTTTTCCTCTTTGTTGCAATAATTTTGTGAATTGCCGTCTAAGCGTTAACACAGATGAAGGCGAGTAAATACCCGTGAGTGACACTTCCATCACGGCATTCTTTTAGTTTATAGTGTTACGGCTGAAGGTAAAGCAGAACGGAACATTGGTCTACAGCATTAGCTTGGGTGGCCAATCCTACTTCGCTTATTTTTAACACTACCGTCACTTTAAAAAAGCGACGCGGTGCAGATTGGGATAAAACTGCTTCGGTTTCTGCGGGAAAGGGGTAGAAATGGCAGCGGTAAACGATAAAAGCTGTCTAAGAGAGCGAGAATGATGAACTTGAAACGGTTGATCTTAGTAGCTTTATTAAGAGCATGAAGACAACATGGATAAAAAGACTGCACCAATTCAAACACAGTTGATTTTTTACGATACGGAAAAATTCCCCCTATTCAAGAGTCGCTATCATGTGGAACGACAGCCCTTTCAAAAGTGAAAAAGGTAGCAATCCCTTTCTGGAAGCAGGCAATCGCAGCTTGAAGCGAGTTATGTGATTTACCTATTCCAAACGTAAGCAAACGTTGACCGAAAAGCTGCGACCCAAGAATGTTTCAAAATTCGCCAACGGCATCGTTAAAACATGCGACATTACAGGATTGTAAATTGTTTCAGACCTTATAAATACCACAACAGGAATTCTTTACATTAACGGAGATATAGAAACCGTGTGTGGGGCTGGTATGCCATTTATTTTCTATGCGTCTCTCATTAGAAACCATTCGAGCACCGCCAAAGAGTCAAATTATAAATCATTTGCCTATTCTTTTATGCATCACGAAAAAACTCAGTCCTTGGAGATGCTAGAATTTCACGCATTACATATAAAACATACACCACTTGTCTGAGGAACAAATATGAAAAACACAGAAAAACCTGGGGTAAAGTGGGTTAGATGCAAACCATTTTCACGCTTCATACAGGCTAGACATATGTGCTGCTACTGAAACAAATTTGCTCAAACATTTCACTTTAGTTTAACTTCAAGTATGGTGCATTTAGAAACCTTTTAACCAACAAATTTTCGTTAGTGATTGGCAAAGCTAATGACAGTCTATGCACTATTTGTGGCTTCCTAAAGGAAACAGCTTTTCTGGAACCGCAAGGTGGCACAGGTCTTCATTTCTATAATATCGCACACATTTACGTGGCATTGCAGACTCGCATACCAGATAAATCAAAGCAAGGGATTTTTCCCTAATGTAGGCCGTTGTGAAGGTTAACGGAAACCTTTGTGCTCGGGAGCAGGAAATAACAATATACAGTACTAGACAGCACAGCTGTTAACACTCAACACAACTTTCTAAATAACTTAAATTTGGAAGCTGACAAGGAGTTTCATTCCTCTAGATAACTGAACAAAATAGATGAACACAATGTCACATGGAAACAGCTTGACATCACGTCCAGAAGTAAACACGAACGAGACAGCATGATTATTACGCCCGACTGAGGGCGCTATCTTAATCAATATAGTACCCACATTTAAAGCATCATGCCCGCTGTTTTATGCTTCAGACATGACCACGTCTCGGGACCGCCGCCATGGCCGCCATGACCACCGTCTCATGTCTCCTCCATGACCACCGTCTCATGTCTCCGCCATGACCACCGCCTCATGTCTCCTCCATGACCACCGTCTCATGTCTCCTCCATGACCACCGTCTCATGTCTCCGCCATGACCACCGTCTCATGTCTCCTCCATGACCACCGTCTCATGTCTCCTCCATGACCATTGTCTCATGTCTCCTCCATGACCACCGTCCCATGTCTCCTCCATGACCACCGTCCCATGTCTCCTCCATGACCACCGCCTCATGTCTCCTCCATGGCCACCGTCTCATGTCTCCTCCATGACCACCGTCCCATGTCTCCTCCATGACCACCGTCTCATGTCTCCTCCATGACCACCGTCTCATGTCTCCGCCATGACCACCGTCTCATGTCTCCGCCATGACCACCGCCTCATGTCTCCTCCATGACCACCGTCTCATGTCTCCTCCATGACCACCGTCTCATGTCTCCACCATGACCACCGTCTCATGTCTCCTCCATGACCACCGTCTCATGTCTCCTCCATGACCACCGTCTCATGTCTCCTCCATGACCACCGTCTCATGTCTCCGCCATGACCATCGCCTCATGTCTCCTCCATGACCACCGTCTCATGTCTCCGCCATGGCCACCGTCTCATGACCACCGCCGCCATCAAACAGCCGCTCCCTTCTGAACTTTTGAACGGCCTTTCTCTCTTGTCACTCGAAGCATGTCTCGATAGGTACTAAACGAAGAGAACATTATTTTTAAGTAAGTTCAATAAAACCTCCCAATATTCAAACACAACGTAAGACTCAAGAAACGACGGATGTGTTTGACGTTCCACTCGGCTCTAGTGCGTTGCCAGTGATGTGATCCATGCGTTTGTAATGCCGGTTGTTGTGGTATTCTTTGTATGACGTCATTGTGTGTTATCATGCGTTTTTAATGTGCTGTCCATTAACTGTTCATCGCTAGGCTTTTGTTAGTTTTGAGTGTTCTTGTGTGCACGCGCGATACAATGTCTTTGTCACTGCATGCACTTGATGAATGTGTCTTGCTCCACGATGGGCATACGTGGCTTTTTGTTTAGGAAAATGTACATTTTGTGATTTGCACACAAAAAACAAACTTTACAGTATCAGCGTGGGTTGCACGTCTACTTTTAAGCACCTGGATGGTCTTGTCGTAACATATACAACACTAGAAAACTCTCACGCGCCCTCCCCGTTGAACGTCTAAGGGTTGGTACATCCCCATCCCTCAGCAAATGCGTCGCACGAACACTGAGCGATGCAACATCCGTGGCTGATGCAGAATGCGCAAAACTTGCGAGCGCTCCACGGTATAAGACATAGTTATGTTGGGCCCGTCTGGGCCATCGCACGTAGTTCGAGTCAGTGTCGGAAGCATCGAACCTTAGGTGTCGCGATAATCCCCCCGCAGTCCCACGGACCGTCCGAAGTGGTTCGCGGACCCGCGGTGGAACCGGCGCAGTAGCGCCACCTCTCGCGCGCGCAAAGAAACATAGTTCTGACCACACGCCCACGCGTTGTGGAGGCGGCCGACGACAGGCAGTCGCGGTGAGAGGCCATCACCTTCAGACTCCCCGCAGCTCCAGACCTTGTGTGATATTTTCTCCCACGCGCCCAGGAGGAAGCCAGGCGCGGGCCAGAATACTGACGCCTTATTTTGAGCTCTCTGATCGATCTTGAAGCTCAGGGAGGTCCTGTGTACAGCGGAGTAGTAAACACGACGTAACTATAGTGTCAAAGGCGGAACTTTTCCAAAATGTTCGTGGTGCAAAGATAAGTTTTTGTTTCACTTTCTCCATACAGTACTTAAGACGCGAAATTAGTTTTCTGGGATGCTAGGGATGCAGCTGCGTACATCCATGGAGAGTGCTGGCTTTATTCTGCCCCATTTCTAATCGCTGGCATGGGTGGAGTTTTGCAGGCTCATCATAAATGGGAACCCCTGCCACTTGCTCAATAAAACTCAAGACCCGTCGGCGGTAGACCCCAAATCTGATGTGATCTGTATCTTTGTGGCGAGAAGAATGATCATATAACAATTTGGTCCAAATCAAACCACTGTGCGTGGTTCGACGCGAGCAAAGCGGACCCATAGGGTTAGCATCGGGGACGCTCAGCCCTGCGTCATTTGAAACTTATCGGAGTAGCAAAGTGTTTCGGTTGCCGTATGCGAATTGATTGCAAATATACGAGTTTTGGGAAGGTGGATAGGGTGAAACATCAGAACATAACGACCAGTGCGAGCCACAAGAACAAAGTGAGTGATGGTTCCAAAGGGCGATCCTCCGCGACTGTTTATCGTTACAAAGATTACAACGAGAGGTATATTCAATGAAGGACCGTGCAACATCTGAAAACGGACATCTATTGATGTGATATTTTTTAGATTATATGAGCTTATTGCCCCAACATATTATTTTCGAGCGGCAACTTCATTGGAAGATGTCCCACTATTCAAGACAAACGCAAATACTAAAATCCACAACACCGACCAGACGAATTTTTGATCACAACGCTAAATTCAAATACCTTAAATCGCACTCTTGCGATATACCTCTCTTTAGTGCCTGGGCATCGTTGAACATTTCACTTAGCAAAGAGTAGGTGGGAAACTCTGTCGTATGACCTGTAATAGCTCAGAAACCGATAGCGGTGGGCCCCTAAGCCTCATAGTGCTGAACCGGCGGCGAGAGGAGGGCGCACATTCGGTCCAGATCGCACCAACGCGAATGGTTCGGCGCGAGCACACTTGCCCCATGGGATTAGCATTAGCGGAGGTCAGCTCGTCACCATGTGAAACCGATCAGAGGAGCGAAACAAATCGGTCGATGTTTGCCAATCCATTGCATATCTTCCACGTAGGAAGACGGATTAAGTGAACAACAGAATACGACGGCAGTAGAGCTTACCAACATACACTGCGTGATGGCTCAAAGAACGTTTCTACGCGACTACTTATCCGCAGCGTTACATAAAAACAGTATGACGAATGTTAAGCGACGGACCGAGCGCCAGTTGGCACCTCGCCAGCAGCGCATGCGCTCTTAAAACGGCGACAAGACGGCAGGCCAGCTCGCCAACTGAGCGCTGCAAACTGGCAACGGCCAAAACCAGAACTTTGGCTGCCAAGTCAGGCTTCCCTGCAGCGAAAACAAAGGATTTGTCGACGGCATCTTGGTCAAGATATTCCCGACTTGGAAGAGTTGTAACAAGACACAACCTGCCTCCGCAAGCAGGTCACCCTGGCACGGAACAACTTCGCCGGTGATGATCATGAACTCAAAACTTCTGGAGTACCAACGTAGAGAGACAAGGGTTTGCAAGTCGGTGGACACTGTCCCGACCCAGGGGAGCAGAATGCGGCGAACTACCAATTTGAGTTTCTCAGCAGCCTGGAACCGTCAGGACCCTATCACGCAACTTGTATTCAAGCAAGGTGCACCCATCATTTTGTTACGGAGCATGGATCCTCTACAATGCCGACCATCATGACAGGCAGGGCCAAGGCAGAGAACGTTTTCATCCCCAGAATTCCGCTCATCCCGAGTCCAAACAGATCCGGCCTGCTGGCAGGCGGAGCTGCCCCACGCCATGGCGATGAACAAGAGCCAGGAGCGGTGCCTGAAGAAAACGGACCTCGAACTGCCTGAGCCAGTGTTCTCCCGGAGTCAGCTGTACGTCAGCAGCTCCAGCGGAGCGTCCGACATGCATATCATATCGTACCAGGGCAAGACCAATAATGTGGCGCACAAGAAACCACGGCAACCGTAAGATTCCTTGGCGCAGGAATTCAGCTGCAGAAGAACCCTAACGCACGCTGATATCTGGCCTGTACTTTCACATCGCCGTATTCCGCCGTGTATGGCCTCGATTGCTCCGTGCTCGACCCGTCCGCTGCAGGGAGTGCCCGAGCCCGGTAGCGGACCGTCATACTGTACCTCAGAAGAGCACGTGAGTCCGCTGGCTGCTCAGCTGGTCAAACAGTGGTTCAGAAGGACGCGTCGGCCTGTTTCGTGCCAGAGATGTTTTGGGTATAATCTGAAACTGGTGCATATTTTCTGCAAATTGTGCGTCTCACTATTTCCTCGTGATTTCTTCGAAGTTTAGCTCTGTGGTGTGACATTCTTTGAAAGTATTAACTGCATTGCTCCAAGGAATGAATGGCGGCCGGCACTTTCGTTGCAGCGTGTCCCACTTGTATACAAGCACCTACAAATACGAAACCCCACCAGACAAGTCAGATCAATTTATAATAAGCCAAACGCAGCGTTTTCAAATTATTCCTTTGTGGCATACCTTTTTATAATCGGGGTATCGCTGGGCATCCCAGCTAGCCACATATAATAAGGGCAAATATTTGTCCTTTACCCACCAATAGCTCGATAACCGTCGGTGGTAGACCTCCAACACCTCGCATGGTCTGACTCTGCCGCGCGACAAGAGCACGGTTTATACAGCACATCTGGTTGAGATCAAAGCAGCGTAGCACGAGCAAACCTGCCCCATAAGCCTAGCATCAGGCTTGGTGCTGGGTAAGCTGGATGTGCGGGCGGCATAGCTGCATTACATCTTCCGTTTCCCAGCCCCGCGAGGGTGCTAGTCCACAATCTATAGCGTTGAATAAAGCAGGACTCAGGTCATGCATTGTTATTCATGGCATATGTGCAGTTTTGCTAATTTGCGCATGGCACTTGCTGCAAAATTAACTATTTCCTGGTCGAGACGGTTATCTTCGTGTGAATATTTCGGGTAACGAAGAATTTCCGACTGCTGCGTGCTAATGAACTTCGAATTTGCCATTTCAGAAAGGACGGTATGTTAAAAGCCTAAAGGAAAATGCCCTTTGATGTGTGCGAAAATGAGCTTCAGCACCAAGCTTTCGTTCCTTATGCTGCACGTAATCGACTTTGAATAGCCCAGGAGGTGCGGGCTAATCGACGTTAGCAACAGACCCTAGTATACAAGACGTTATCAAGCGAGTATTGCCACTTGTGGTCAAGAGCACTAGAAACGTCGACTTTACAGACGAGCTATACCATGCCTGCCTCATAACGTCATGAAATCATAACTTTCTGAAAGGTTGTTGTAAGTTATTCGGGCTCAGGGGCGCTTAGACGGCAGCGGTCATTATGTACCCGTCCTGAAAGGCCGGTTATTTGCAACACCACTCACGACTCATGATTTATTTATTTGACATTACAAAACCAATGTCGGCAGTATTGCTGGGCATTGCTTCCGCTATCCAGCTTGCACCTGGCCATCGCCATATTGCGTCTCGTGTGGCCTAAACTCTCAGCCGTTCGCTGCCGGGCGTGACCGAGCCCGGTAACGCTAGGCGGTTCGCTGCCGGGGGTGACCGAGCCCGGTAACGCTAGGCCGTTCGCTGCCGGGGGTGAACGAGCCCGGTAACACTAGGCCGTTCGCTGCCGGGGGTGACCGAGCCCGGTAACGCTAGGCGGTTCGCTGCCGGGGGTGACCGAGCCCGGTAGCGTTCGGTCGTTCACTGCCGGGGGTGACCGAGCCCGGTAACGCTAGGCCGTTCGCTGCCGGGGTTGACCGAGCTCGGCATCGTACCACAGTGCTGTGCTTGAGCCGCGTGAACCCACTGACTGGTAAACTGTCCAGGCAACAACGCAGTGAGAGGAGGTGACCTATGTCGTGGCACTGACTTTTAATGAGTACCCTGAGGCTGACATGTGACTTCTTCAACTTGCTCCGCTATGTTTGCTCTTGGTGGCCTTGAATTTAAACGTTTAGTGATTCGGCGTTTTTCAGGGATTGCGTTAGCTGTATTGCCTCCTCAAATGATTTGCACTCAATATAGTCAGCCATTTCGTTGGAACGTGTTAAACGATTAAATGCAAGAACAAGGATGAACAACTGAAACACAAATCACGTGATAAGGCATGAAATAATAAAAAAATAAAGTCGTTAAGTTGTGATATAGATAAAATCGTTGCGTAGCATAGACAAGTGAATGTCATTTGGACCGACAACCAGTTTCCAGTTTTTTATCGAGATAGGTGCATGACTCGATTTGATAAGTGTAACCTCCGAACCTTTTCCCTCATAACCGTCTTGCCGAAAACGCACAATTTTGTGAAATTGGTGAACGCAACTTCGCACGGAAAAAATCCTCTCCGATGAATCGGAACCCAGCTTTTATGCAATAAGATGTGGCCTGTGAGTAGATGTAGTTCGTTTCAAGAAAATCGTTTCAACTACATATGCATTTTGGACCGCATACTGATAAATCAACCTACCATGCCTTGGTTTGATGTTCCAAATTTTCCATATTGTATTGTCACAAGCATCTAGCAAATGTGATTGTACGACTAGTATACTACCGCTTCTATCTGATGCTCAAAACTGCAGGTCCACAAGCGGCTGCAAAGAGGTCGGCTCGTAAACAGCATCATGGCCAGACTGGGACGACTGAGGCAGTCAGTTGAAATCTCCCGCTAGTTAGAGTAAAACTCGCTCGGCCTACAGACTCACTCCTCACAAAATTCCGCTATCTCCTGCTGATAATTCCATAAATCTTTGATAAGCAGTAACGAAGACCTAAGCTTGTGAAGAGCCAAATGGTCTGGCCGCGCTGGGCCGGGCCTGGCCGGGATTTACGACCATTGTTCGTGTGCGCCCGGCCCCAGAAAAGGACTTAGTCTCAATCTCCCAGCTCCATCAAGGTGATGTGCTCAGAGCTTGTCCCAGATCGCCTCCGGGTGACCACATCCCAACGGATTGTGAGGAGGAGTCACTAGTGGTACGGTGTTCTGGCTAGTGTTGTGGAGAGAGGACAGCTTGCGCCCACGGTTGTCTTTATGGGCCCACTATTAAAACGCCCACAAGCTGACTACTCGGGTCTGGTTCGTACACCCGTGCAGCACTCACAGGTGGTCCTGTCGTTTGAAGGCCTTGCAGCAGATGGTGCAGATGTACTTGCGCTCGTCGCTGTGCGTCAGCCGGTGCTTGGTCAACGCGGACGCGTTGCTGAAGGACTTGCCGCATACCTGCAGGTGTACTGTATGTCAGCGAGCGATAAAACCTGAGGCCTACGAACATCTCCGGAATCCCGCTAACCACTGTTGGAGCTTTTGAATAAGGCACCTTCTGGCGTTGTTCATTATCTGATATTGATAATCGGGAGCGATGTTAGCCGTTGTCGTTCCATCAGAATATTGAGAGCAGAAAGCAACACAACGGAACATAACGGGGTAACAACGCCATGCAGATCCGCACCATCTGGCCGAGTCATAGTACCATGGCTAATTACGAGTGGCTCAGTGAAGCCAAAGAGTGCTATGCCATTGCATACCTATGGCTTGGCACTGCGCAGAAAAGATAAAACGGCAGAAAACCAGACGTGAAACGGTGATAACTACATGATGATGTCCATTACTCATTGAACAGTTCCGTGTCCTAAGCGGTGTATGGTCCCGTCACTGTAGCGACCCAGGTCCAAATAGTCCATCAAAGGACGCCGCTTCCACGAAGCGACAAGAGATGTCATACAAATGCCCACCATGGCAGTTGTATCTTGATAACATCTAGACATCACTGAATGGCACCTGATTGACGCGCCTCTTGATGGGAAATGCTTGTCTGAAAGAGGAGACGTGGTGCAACTCACAACAAAGGACAGCTGTGGTGAATAGGCAAACAAAATCCCAGTAGGCAGCTCGTGTGAAAGACGTGTCACTGTCCAAAAAAGCAGCCGTGGTGTCTTGGCGTCATCTGACGGGTGATACCCGAATCCCCCACAACCCATCGTGACTCGACGCTGTGATCCAGCCCGTCGCAGCCCCCGGCAGCAGCGCGCCAACACGACACCCTTCGACAGGTGGCCGACACCTCCGGCCCCGCTCCCGGGTGGCCGGCGCACCCGCCGGGCACCCCAGCCTCAATCACCACGGCCATGCTATTGATCGGCCCCCGGGGCGGCGACGGACGGTCCGCGGTCGACGATGGCCCTCTGGCGGTATCAGCCGTCGGCGGTCGAGGGCGGCGGCGCCTCTGATTGACGCCTCCGCCGCCACCGACAGCGTCGTCGGCCGCCGCCGAGCATCGATCGACGCCGCAGTGAGCGGAGCGCAACAACAAATCGTCGAAAGTGGGGCCGTGTTTTCGGCGGTGGCCGGCGCGCAGACAGGTCAGAGATGTGCCCGCGCCGGCGGTCGATCTCGACGGGTCGGGCTCGACGGTCGCCGGCGCCGGACGCCCGGGGCGGAGGCGTCAGACGCGGCGACGGAGCGATGGGGTGGGGGGTAGGGCCTGGATGGTCGCGACCGTGTGACGTCATGCTCGGGCAAGGATTGGCCGATGAGGTGTGCTCGTGTGCAGACAGGGCGTAACAGGGAAAGCCGGAGGAGAAGCAGCTTATGCAGATGAGGAAGAATTAGACACAGACGACGAACGATGCTAATATCAAATGGTATGTGGCTCGATGTCTTAAGAACGAGAGGTGGACAGTCTAGCAAATACTATTGATCATCAGCTCAGTCAAGCTTGGTCTTACTGAGTTCGTTGGTGGAAGCGGCCGTCTATCTTCCCGGTTAGTAAGCGAGCGTAGCTCTTAACTGAAATGGATTGGGGCAACAGCTGCCTTTCAATTCGCATATAAGTACGATGCTACGGCACATCCTCATCATTCTCTGCTGAAGTTTTTTTTTGTCGGTCGTCGGACCCTTGCGCGGCAATCGTTCTGCAAAGCCTTGCATTCAAGATGAGCCCAGTTGGAGCCCGTTGCATGGTAGCATGGTACTGCATGCAGGAATCAGCATGGTGCCCATTGCATATTGTTGCATGGTAGCATGGTATTGGAGCCCGTTGCACAGCATTGTATTTTTTGAGAGGCACAATATTTGTACCTACGTCGCTATGAAGCAGGGCATCGTGACTGCACTGGGAAAAAACGGCCATTTTATTGTCGCTGTTCTTTGGCTATGGTTGTGCGGGGCATTTAAGAGATTATTCCACTGCCTGTCAGTGCAAGACGTGCTTGTTTCAAGGGGTATGCACTTTGAAGCTGTAACGGTATAGCAGTATCCAGTCTTTAGTGATAATTCAGTGAAGACTGCTGATTGTTCAGTCGGGTCAATAACCGAGAGCTGCAATGACGACGTTCTCATGTGAGTGCACTGTATAATGCAGTTTATACCTAACAAAACACCATGGAAAAAACAACCAGACCGGTTTGGCGCCAGGGATCACATTGGTCAGCCGTTTTCCAGACAGATGATGCTGTTCACTTGGCCGGCACCGGAAATATCAACCACGTCAAGGACTCGAACCCTGGATCATAGTAAGTCATACCCGAATACGTAACCAGCTGGGCTAAAAAACTGCAATATTTCAGCGTGTCACGGCGGGCGTAAAAGGGGCTTATCGGAGATAGCATGTTTTCGCGGCAATCGAAGATTTTATTTATTAACGGAAAATTTATAGGATGTGTGCGATTTTGTGCCTCCATGTCAAAGAGCCCGAGCATGAAGAACACAACGGTACACAGTGCACGATGCCGTGAATAACACCATCTGTCCCAGGAACACCATCTATACCTGTAGTATGACACTGAATTACTAAACCGTCATCAGCTAGGTTGGAAGATCGCCCCTTGATATGACCTCCAAAAGTCCGGGGTTCGAGTCTCTGATGAGGCTTATATTTTCAGTGCCTATCGCACGAATAACATCATTTTCCTGAAAACTGCCCGTACAATACAATGCTTTACAGCCAAATAATGCAGGCATAATGTAGGCAAGCATTATGCAAGCAGTCACAAGCATGCAGTTCGAGTTCACCCGTGAGCTGCGGTTCATCACTAATGGATCGCTCAGATGTTTTTGTTCTTAATGGCCCGAGCACAAACTCACATCCTGTCCGGACTGTCCCATTTACTCAAATTCAGCTCCCAGTTGTCAGCTGTTTAGCTGCTCAGAACACTTAGTTGAACACATGTTCAATTCTCCTAACCTTTTACCGGATGGAGGCGATTTCGCTAGCGTGGCCGTTGCCGCGATGGTAAATGTATAGCAGGCGGTTTATGGCCTTACTTTTCTTGTATTCATCAAGTAATGCTCGCTTCACTTCTTGGTTTTAATTAATCTCTCTTGGTTCGGACATGGCTGCGGCTCAACGACGCGATGCTATTGAATAACACAAACTCCACCAAACGTGTGGCTCTCAGCGAGTTCGTTACTTCTATTCAGTTCCATTCAACCTGTAAAGAAATTTCGCTGAGGTGGAAGTTATGATGTTAACAACAAAGGAGATTGCGTGTGAATGCCTTCTCCTTACAAATAGCACTCTTTTCAACACTCCAGGTTAGCTGTACTCATGCCTTCTTTGTAGAAAGGACACATTCATGTTAAAGGTAGCAAAAAAACAAACAAAAAACAGAATGACAGGATGCCAGCAACAAAGCCTTGAAATTCTGTTCTTACGACATGCTGAGTTCAGAGTTGTTATGATGACAATTATTGATCTTCATTATTCCAGATGGAACTGCTTAAGCGACGATAGGAGCCAAACACTGGCTTTGTTACAATACTCGACGTTTCAAGCACTGATCACGAGTGCTGCCGTTCGCTCATGATGCTAAACACGGATTGAAACGTCGAGCATTTACGGTACCTATGCCTGCTTGAGAACGTCGTTGAACGAGCGCCTCCTGTTACACCGAAGGGCGATAACTGGCAACATAAGAACTCTGAGCTCGTCACAACTGGACGTCATCAATCAGCATAAGGTAAGTTTAGGTGGTAAGAACTGGAGGGATCATTTTTTTCACCACTTCAGACCCATGTTAACATTGTCTTGATCCAAGCTTGGGGCACGTGCTCGGAACGCGGCGCCCTCCGGCCTGGATCTTTTTTGTTGTAAATCGCGGCGGCAGGCCGGCAAGCCGGGCCGCTGCACTTCGCAGTTAGTGTTTAGACAACAGGTTTAGCTGAGATGAGCAACGTCCTTTGAAAGAACAATCGTGGAGAACATTCCTTACTTGGTGCATTGTCAAGGTTAAAACGTCCTGACCAGGATGTGTGTGGTCGTCGTACTTACTTTACGCATGCTCGTTCGAGGATTACCACTGTGGGAGTTCGCTGCTGAACTGAATTTCTCCCGAGCTCCAGCCTGCTTTAAAAAATACAATCAGTGCAATCAAGTAAATATTGGTTTTGTCCAAACTGTACGCGGAAGACCAGACAGCTGTACATGTGGCGTGGTAGGAGGGGACTAACGCCAGCAAGACTCGTTTTGCGGCATGGGACTAGCGAGCTGATAAAGGACGTGATTGTTATCTGTACGGGGATGATGCGTGGACATCAGCGCATGGGTCTCATCGCCTTGAGAATCCATACGAAAAGCAAATGTCAATGCGTTGAAAAATCTCCTTTCAGGAGTTAGGCAGGCGGAGCTGCACTCGTGCTTGGCATCCGTAAACAAGTTAACAAACGACGTTGCTGGAATATTGGCTGGCTTTGGACCCGCCGAGTCCAGGGGAATCCTTATCGGCGGAGTGGATGAATTCGGAATAGTTTACGACTTTTGTGACAATGACAAACGCATGGGGAAGCGTTAATATCTTTGGCTAGGAAATCGCTAGAATAAACTCTGCCACGTACCCAAATCGTCGCCGGGGTCCGGCTAGCCAGGCCATATCTTTGCCTCAGTTCAGGCCTCAGCGCGTGGCATTTGAGGCCGATTTCGGCTAAGATGACACCGGCTGCTTCTCGGCCCAGTACTGACAGTGTGCAGACCGGACAGTGCTGAAGTCGCCAGACGAGTCGCAGGTGGTACGCTCGCCTGCACTGTAAATCCGGTTTAACGTCTCCGTCTGCTCTGTTTGCTAAGATCTGGCATAAGTCCTTTAAAGCGTCTGAAGCCGGCCAGACTCATGCTCGGCGCCAGATTTTCCATGACAGTGTGCACACATCAACCCACACCTTTGCCGGCACGACGACCCGCTTCTTCACCGTCAGCACCAGTTGGTCTCGTGTCACTGCGACGAGGCCGACCAGCGCTCTGCAACTGTTACGTGGCCGGAAGTTCTGCGTTTCCATTTGACGTGACGGTTAGGCGACACATTGCGGTGACCTTGCAATATGGCAGAAATTTTCTACCGGTCCAGACGGCACATTCACACAGGATCCTTGAAACATTTACAGGACATTGTTTTGAAAGGCCTTGTACATATTGCTGAAAAGTTAATGGTGGTACGGTCACTGGTTGCGCAGGCACAAACAAGCCGTGGAAAGCGTGGCCGACCAGGCCCGAGCGCTCAACGCAAGGCACTCTCGGTTAATTTACGACAGACGCGCGGACAACGGCATCGCTCGTAACGAACAATCAATGTTTTTTACCAAAATACATCATCTTTACAAAACGAAGCATACGTGAAGCTGTACTTGAGCGTAACGATGAACGCTAGTTTTAAAAAAGACTCGCCCTCCTTTTTAACGGTAACTACCTCGAGCCTGTGATAGGTCGAGGAAAAAAGAAAAAAATAATAACCGTTCAGCCGTTCTAGAGCGTCGGACGAACTGGGCCAAGTCTCCACTGGAAGTCACTGATACTGAAACTGATCAACTGTGACAGCCAGGAGTGAATGTGAGCTTCTGCTAACGGCGCTATTGAGTAGAAAGCTGGGAGCAATCCGTTTTTATGAACTAAATAGCATAGTTAAACTGAAACTGCAATCCTCGAAGACTCGTGGAATAACTCGGCTTGGCTTCTCAAGATGATAAAAAGCAAGGTCACCAGGGAAGCAATACTTTTTCCAGATGGTAGGCACAGCAGACGGACTTGGCACGTTTCGCAGTCCACGCAGCGACCTGAGGTCAACAGTCTCGACACGGCGGATGCCATCATGTGTCTTATGACTATTAAGAAAGATTATGAACCACAAATGACTTCAAAAA